TTCTTATTCATATCCCCTCATTCATAGGATTCAAGAATTTACTTTTTTCTTTAATGGCCATGTAATTTATTAAGACACTGTACGGAATTAAAAAGAACATTAGCAAGGCCACACAAAATAAAACCATAAAAACCCACAAATGGCAAACTTGAAGATTTGGCATAACTCGGATAGTTCCTCTTCCCAAGTCCCAGGCCTCCTCCCAGCTGGCAGAAGGGGGTAAAAGAAAGGGAAGGATTTAGCAAGTTTTACAGCTCACTGCCATTTGCCATCGCCTGCTCTGAGGTCAGGGGGATGTGAAGAGTGGAATTGGCTGCCTCTGTGACATTGGGCAAGTCACTTAACTTCCCTAGGAAGATGAATTTCCTCATCTATAAAATGAGGAGGGTGGAGAGGCAGCTGGGAATAGTGGATAAATAGCTGGCCACAATCAGAAACACCTGAGTTCAAATTCCACCGCTGTTACATACTGGCTGTGTGGTCTGTGCAAATCACTTAACCCACCAGTGCCCTCAGACAAATTTCTTTAAGACTATAACTTGTAGAGGAGGTTCCAGTTTGCTTTGATAGAAATCCATCACCAGCAGCTTCCTAGACTAACAAAACCATAGGCCTACTCCAGAATTAAATAAAAAGTAAATGTGTTGGGCTAGATTGCCCTCAGCTCTAGAGCTATGATCCTAGATTTATATGTATGTGTACCTATGGGCCTTTATCTCTTTGGGGTAAGATCTGTGCTCAGCAGTAAGATCTCTAAGGATGAGCTGAGTAACTTTTCTTCTATAATTCCAAATGGTTTTTCAAAATGGCTAAACCAAAACAGGCAACTCAGACTGAATTTTTTTCTCCTTGATACTTGTTTATCTAGTCTGTTCCACTGATCAGAGTTTTTATGATTAGTTTTATAATAGTTTTTAATCTAGAAGTACTATTCCCCCTTCATTCTTTTTTCCCATTGGTTCCCTTAAGATTCGAAACATTTTTTCTCCAAATGAATTGTTATTTTGTCTAGTTCTACAAAGTATCACCTTAGTAGTGTGGTACACAATCTGTAAATTAATTTCGGAAATACCTTCACTTCTATTATACTGGTGCAATCCAACCATTAGCAATTAATATCCCACCAATTGTTTAAGTCTTGTTATATTTCTGTAAGTAGCTTTTGTAATCATGTTGGAAGTCTTGAGAGTGTCTTCATCAGTTCATTCCTGGTAATTTTGTGCATTATGCAGTTATTTTAGCAGTGTTTCTCATTCTATCATTCCCCCCTGACTTTTATTATTGTTACATAGAAATGTTGGCAATTATTGTTGATTTTACTGTTACTTTACTGAAGCCATTAGTCATCTGAATTAGTTTATTTGAGGGCATAAGTATGCACACACACACATAGCCCTGTGATATATACTGTAAATAAAAAGGAGTATGCCATACTGGTGAAGCAGATAAGCACACCACCATTCCCTCCCCCCCTCCCCCCCCAAAAAACCACACTTCCTTTGGTAAGCTTTTGGTTTATTTCAATTGGCCAACCTGCTTCATGTAGGATAGAGGTCGCGCGCGCGCACGCACACACACACACACACACATGCTCGTGACCCACTAGAAAGATAATCAGAATGATCACTCAAGAATAATTTAATTCAAGAGCAATTTATTAAGTGTCTGTACAAAGGCTTGTATTAGGAACTGGAATACCAAAATGCAAAAACAGCATGCAATGAATTTATAGTCTAAAGGGGTGAGACAACATGTATATTAATAAATATATAAGGTAGAACGTGGTGAGGGCAAAGGCAGGATTTAGGCAGAAAGCTGAGAGGTCACTTTCTGATGGGGCAGTTAAGAGAAGCTTTCATGGAGGAGGTGGTACCTGATCTATGCCTTTAAGAAAGAGGCAATTCCAAAGGTAAGGGATACAGAGGGTATTTCAGGCATGCAGAGAAGTCTACAGAAATGTCCAGAGGTGTGAAAGGACAGGACAAGATTTGGGAACAGTCAGTAGAACAATCTGGTGATAACATAACTATGCAAAGGTAAATAACATGAAATATG